CCCCCCCCCCCCCCCAGCGAAAAATGTCACTCGGATTCTAAGACTCAAGCATCCTATAAATTATGCACATTCCTGATCAGTATGAGATTTTGTTCGCCGGTCCACTTGGCCTACTCTCGAAATTCTCGTAGTCAGAAAAATTAAAGAAATCAGCTTGATACTACGGGCATATAGCCTTATATGACAGCGAGACAAGCGGCGAAAACTAAAAATGGAAAAAAAGCAAAAAATTAAAATATTTCGTAAACCTGTTAAGGATTGGTGTACCAAAGCGATTATCATCATAAAAAGCATGAGTGTCTCGCGCGAGCCATGTAAGGATCCCGTGTCCGATAGAAGTAACAGAAAAGTTCCGATTTTTAGAAAAAATTACGATTATTCGAATGCTATTCGAATTCGTAGACACTTTCCTACTTGCTCGCCACGTAATCGCTCCGCGAAGCAACGATTCCAAGATGTTTTTTCATTTCGTTGCCTAAATTATCAATAACAGCTTGTTGACGGCAATTGGGCAGTTGGATGGCATAATGAACCCCTGCATCATCATGTAATGCCATTTAACTTATTATACATACGTATGCACACATCCAGAAAGGGGAAACGTAGAAAGAGAGAGAGCGAAACGCGCATTTAATGCTTACTTCTGCTTTAATATGAAAACACTGTCTGTACTTTAATTTATGGTATAAAATTAATTAATTATAATTTATTTAATAGAATTCAAGTCTATTGGAGTGTGTGCTAAAAATCTATGTAAAGCATTTTCTTTTTTTTTTAACGTTTTTATGTTCGTTTATTTATTTACCTTAACATGCTGGGAAAAATTGAATTAAGATTATTTGTTCAAACAGAATTAAAATACAAAATTTGGTTAACGAAGTGCCTACTCGGTACCGGGTCATTGCATCAGTGTCTGATGCATATGATAGCCACTTTACGACATCGAAACAAAACACGAATTTTCAAAATACATATGAAACAAAATTTAAATATATATATATATATATATATATATATATATATATATATATACGTATGCATATATATCTATAAAAATGAGACAAAAAAAAAAGGAAAAAGTTATCCAAACCCAAAATTTTAAAATATGGAAAATAAAAGCGCCTAAAATTATACTAACGCCAAAAACTAATACAAATATTCATTCGCTTTTTTGACGTAGTCCATAGGGCGCAAAGAATTTAAAAGTTTTTGTACATAGAAAGCTGCGTTGGTGGTATTTTGTCCAGAATACAAAAATATTTGAAACTGATCCCTTAAAGCAGTGCGCATTAATTGTAACAATTTGGCATCAGTTATGCTCAACTCAAATTTGATCCAATTATCCAGGGACATAATTGCTTTGCGTTCTTCTCCCGAAGAATCGATATGAACGCTCGCAAGGGATTTGATTAGTTGCCTTTGCGCTGGATCGCAATTATTCGATAAGTTGTCATTCTCGTTACCAGGATTTACCCAAACGGAAAAATCGGAATTATTATCATCATCCGAATTCTCTTCGCTGACATCTTCATCAATATCGCATTCATGACCACACTGAAGGGCTATCAGCAAAGGCGGCACTACAGTGTTCATATTGATAGAGCACGTATTTGAAATACGCGATTTCTCAAAGAATACAATCCAATCATGCGGTAGCTGTTGAATAAACTCTCTCAAGTGTTTTTTACCTGGCGGATTTAATGCAGATGTTCTTTGCAAGACCAATTGCTTTTCGGCTCCACATATCAATTTTGCGTTGGTACGATCGATGACCGCCACATTTGGATAAAAGCCAGATACCAAACATAATTGTATCATAAGCCAGTTTGTGTTGTGAATTCGACTTCCTTGTCCCAGAGGAAATTTCTGTTTCATTAGTTCACCGATTTGTCTGCGAATCGCACAAAACATTTCCATGGATGCTTGGGAGAGATAATATTTCGCGCAAAATTCTTTCACTTTGCGTGGCGAATTGCGCGCAGAGATGTAGTTTTTATAAAGAGAGAGTATACCCATATGATCACTAAATGATTCACCGGCAAAAGATTTGCGTAAAAAAGAGACTTGACCTTGAAGAGAACGATCACCCGGCAACACAAAGGGATCTTTGACAGAATGATAAGCACATATGGTGAGAATGGGATCAAAACATTTCAGAAATACACCATACATCAAACATTTTCCCAATTGAACGTCAAGCGGTATGTCAACCAAATGTCTACCCAATTCGGTCACCGATTCATCGTTATTAAGAACTCCCAAAATTTTCAATTTTCTTAGAGCATTTTGTACACTTAACGCGGAAGGAGGATTTAGAGCTCTAGCAAGATAATTTTGAACAGCGCTCTGCGGCTCCAAAATTTTGGCGTAAAGGCATATTTCGGTTAGAGGTATACGCATAAATTCTGGTATGCTAAACTGCGACATAAACTGGTATTTGACTTTTGAATATAAACGATAACAAATGCCATTTTGCGTGCGACCGGCTCTGCCCGCACGTTGGCAAGCATCCGCTTGTGATATCCACACTAATTGCAGCTGTGAAGATTCGGTAATCGAATCAAAGGTATTCATTTTAACTTTTCCCGAATCTATAATGTAAGCTAAATCCGGTATCGTAATAGAAGTCTGACCAATGTTAGTAGATAGAATAATTTTCCGTACCGAATGCGTTTGCAAAGCTTTGCATTGATCTTTCGAATCCATTTGTCCATGTAAAATGCAAATTATGTACGTACCGCCAGGCAAGGTGCTTTGTATAAGGTCTTTCTGATGAACAATATCGTTATAGCCTGGTAGAAATACCATAATAGCGCCGGGATGTGAACTACGGTAAAGACCTTCCAAAAGTGATAAAATCAAATCATGATCCACATCATTGTCGTCGTTGAATTGTTGCTGATAAGCGGCGAGCAGGCGATGCTTGTCTCTATCTTGCTGGCTAAGCTCATGCTGCTGTCGTATAAGCCGAACATTATTACAGGAACTCGTGAGAATCTGCAAGCACATAGAATCGGAGTGAAGACGAGCATAATCTATAGCCTCGTAACCATCTCTATCTCGAATGCTGACGTTGGCTTGCCGTAGAATTAGCGAACGCACATACTCCGGCATATTGCATTTACATGCGGCCATTAAAGGTGTAATGCCTGTTACAGAATGACCAACATTTACAGACATTCCCTCACTTTCAATGTAATACTGCATCTGATCAAACATTTCGTAGACTTCATTTTGTCTGTTGTTTCCTAAAGTACAACATTGTTCAATAAGTAAATCGAATATTTGTTGCAATGCTTCATCATCCAAACGATCCGGATTCGTATTATTTAAAATACTTTCATTAGGTGGCAGGTTTTGCAACTGAATATCGTCCATGGAACGCAAATATTTGTCCATTAAGTCGGTACGATAACCCGTGTAAAATAATATATCTTCCAAATGATAAGTTTTCACATTAAAACTCTGACCCGGTACATTAAGCACTGGACAATCATCGAAATACTTGGAGAGCAAATGAATATCCATAGTGGCTGACATTAGAATGACTCTAAGATCTTTATTCAGTTTGAGTTGCTCCTTAACGCTTATTAGAGTAAAATCGGTGTTTTTGTCACGTTCATGAATTTCATCAATGATCAGGTGAGATACTTTGCGAAATAAATCTGAGACATCCGCCATTATGGAACGCAAAAAGCAACCGGAAGTAGTGTAAATTAAATTTGTTGTTTTACAGACACGACCTTAGAAAAAGAGAAAGAAGCTTTTTTGGGTCTGCTTGGCAAGAAATATAAATTTCAAGCAGAAATACAACGTACTTTCCATGCGTATTTGGTAGCCTACAGTTTCGCCTAAAACCTCCCCTCTTTCTTCAGCCACACGGTTGGCAACAGATACAGCGGCTACTCTACGCGGTTGAGTTACTATAATACGACATGGCCGATTTCGTCTGGTCGCCTCACTTAAAATATACTGCGGGACTTGAGTCGTTTTACCCGAACCCGTCTCACCGTTAATAATAAATACCTAAAACGCCAAAGACGAAAACAACAGAGCTGCCATTGTTATTGCTCGATCAGTGCTCAGTACTTACATTGTGATGCGCTAATATCTGATGGATTTCGTTTTGGAAATGATGTATAGGCAGCTCCTGCTTGTCGCGAAGTAATTCACTGGAAATACGTTGAGGCCGTGGTGGGACCATATGAGGACCTAATGACAACGATAAAGCCTCTCCACGCAACTGCCGTTGTTGTTGGCAACCAACAGATTGCACCAACGTTTGATTAGCGATAAACTGCGACTGTACTGCAGGCACCAATGAAAGTAAAACTTCTCGTGTTGTCGGCGATAATCCGAGCGCGTGAGCGTCACCTAAGAAAATTAGACGACGACACTTCCTAATATGCATTTGCCGGTCATCTTTTTTACCGTAACTGCGGGATTTTAGGCCTAGGCGGGCAGCATATTGATGAAGGAATTTTCGGTGTAAATTTGTCAGACCATGCAATACGATTTCCTCGTCGCTACCTGTTAAGAACTCTCTGATTTTTTGCTGTAATGGCAAGCGTTCATTTTCTGCTAAATAAACGGCATCCATTTTATTATTCCTCTTATTCTTAGATCTGGAGCTCTTAATTCCATCCGAATTTTTTTGTAGCCTACAAGTGAATGCTGACATCGCTTGGCTTTACGCACATACGTTTTCAATAGTGAAATTTATAAATACTGGCGGGGATTAATTTTTTTCGAAAATGTAGCGATGCAAGGTCTATGACGTGCTTAAAATATTTATTTGAAAAAATTCTTTGAGAATACTGTCAAAATAAAAAAACAATTGGATTTAATGCGAAAAAGCCTCAAATATTGAATGACATATGGACTGCTGTTATTAAGCAGTGTTGCTAAAAGGCATGAAAATATATATATATTTATAAATGTATACATACAAAAGCTAAATGCTATGCAACATAGAAAATTTATTAAAAGTTGCAAATAGCAGCAACGAATGAAATATTTAATAAACAGAAAACAGGAGGTTGTACGAAAATAACAAACTGAAACAAAGAAACATATCAAACTCGTCCACATGACCTAGGTGAAAGAGAAACATTTGTTGAAACCAATTTTTTTTTTTTTTACCAATTCGTATATGTTTCATTTTCAGTGCTACTATTTAATTCGAAAAAAACTCATTTGTATACCGTTCAATCAAAACTCTTTAGATCCTCTCTTTAACTATAATGAAAACCTCAGGATATTGAAAAGTGCTCCACAGTTAAAAATGGAGAAGGGAAATTTCATTTTTTTTTTCATATTTTTAAAATAGTGTCCGCGACATGGTTCCCTTAGTTCATCAAGCGAAAATCCTTTCAATTTAACGTAATTTCCAATTCCCAGTAAAATACACACACATAATTCTCATGATTATTATAAATAAATTACAACAAATTCAGTTTAATAGATTATACAATTAATATGTAACTGTACAAATCAAGTACATACGTAAGTTATCACCACGCTCGCTAGATGGTTAGGTGTGAATTTTGGTTTGTTATCTTCGCGTAAACAGAAAACAAGAGTTGCATAGTTCCCAATACAATACCATCTTGAACCAAATTGGAACGAAATTAAATTAAAACACCTTGATTACTTATTTTTGATATTCACTGAAGAGTTTGCAAAAATTCGAGATACTTATGTTTTATAATCTAGATATGATAAATGTGTTTTATTTTTGTTTTAACGCTTCTGGCACGGGGAATATCGTTTATAAATTTAATGTAGATTTCCACTGATCTCAAAAATATTTTTGCTATTTACAGCCAAAGCAATTTGCAAGTAAGTTGGAGCTTAAGTTATTATAACTTAATGATATGTTCCGATGAATTTCGTTGAAGAAACGTGTCCGAAATGCTGCACCTTAGTTATATTAAAGTTTACGTCTGATTATTATAATTCTAAACGGAAACGCGTTAATTACCATGTTGTTGGTACCAATCATAAGCTTATAAACATATAAGTTCATTGTCTACATATATTCTTATTGAAATCGCAATTGCCATTTCTAAACTTTATCTAAAGAAATCTCCTTGTTTGAGTAGATTAATGTTGCGTTTGTTTGTTGCGAAGGCACAAAACGTGCCAGTAAATAGAGTTTAGAATTTACGTTTTATTTTCCTTCGCAAAATTGTTTAAGAAAAACTCACTATTCAACACCTAAAATATCACTAATAGTATCTCTTTTATTTTCTAAACAACGTCTACGTTATTTTGTTTAATTATTTTGTGTATAGAACTAACGGAGATAAGGTGTTTACTAATAAATAATATACAAACCGAAATTGGATCAAGTAATACGACTACGGAGTCATTTAATGTCATCGATCCTTTTTATGTTTCTTGATAATGCTTTCGCGTCAAAAATATATTATAACCAAAAAGTCTTAAAGACATTCATTGGATATATGTTTTAAATGCTATACTTATTCAAAATCGCTAAGGTCTCATAACGTTAGGCTACTTTTGCAAAGATTTTATCTTTTCGTAATTTGTGTCTTACAAGTTGATAAAGTACACGTATTTTTGGAATATTGGAAGAAGCACTAATCGCGATTCTTATTGATAGTGATTTTTTATTATGCTCTTAATTTGGGCTTGTTCTTTAAAAGAACAAAGCTAAAAATGTCTGACGACTTCACGCTGTCTGCGTTTACTCAAGAAATTTTCAAATGATCTTACTTCCGTTTTACTTGAAAAACAATCGATATCTTCTTTATCACTATGTATGTGATTAGCATAGTATTTTTAATTATTTCAATACCCTTTATATATTAGTAAAGAAGGCAGCTTTGTAGAAGAGATGCGTAAAAAAGTTTCTATTAAAGGAATTAAGCTCAACATCTAATATTCGCTACTGGAACTTTCGTTATCAGTAACAAAGTCGTCGTCATCATCATCATCATCATCTTCATTGATGGTCTCCAATTTCATTTGTTCGATTTTTTGCAATAGTTCATCTCTTGAATGCGGCATATTAAGAATCTTTTCCTTTGCTTCAATTATTGATGCACCATTAGTTTCGTCCGCTTGTTTTTTGCCCTTCTCCATATAACGCAAAAAGGACCTTCTCTTACGTTCAGGAAATGATTTTATTAATTTTTCCATTTCCGCTTTTAGTTTAACTTGTTCTTGTGGCGATGGTACAGGTAGTTCAATTTCGACATCCTCTGCACTTTTCAAACACTTGGCACAAACTCGCGCCTGTAAAGCGCAGTCTTTGCACAAGACATGATATGCTTTACGTACGTTGCGCTGTTGGCATTTAGTGCATATTTTGGGTTGACTAAGTGCCTTGTACTTTTTATATTTAATTTTCCATTCTATTACGTCCTTGCAATGTTGGCAGACTTCGCTTACATGCAGCGAATTAAGTCGTTTTTGTAGAGGAGTCTTATCATGCAAATCATTTTTGAAAACAGTACGATTTTTATGTTTTTGTGAACGCGTACGACAGGCGTTACCTCGTTGAGTACTCATTGCCACCAATCTCAAGTTAATACAAAAAGTTTGTGCGTTTTTTTATTGCTACGATATTTCCTTGCTTGTAAAGTAAATTTCCACTTTTTTGAAAACGTGTTTATTTCTATCAAAACAATAACACAATTCAAGTGTCAAAAGACAGCTTTATAATTAACATAACAGAGATCGCTTCTTACATTAAGATAAAACAGCATTAACAAAACACATACACAACTTGGCTGCATCGCATTACGAACACTGTTGTTATTTCTTGCCGAACTTTCGGAATTATTCTGTTTTTACAATTTGTGAAAAGAAAAATTATTGTATTAATAGCATATGTAGAAGTCTTGATCAATAACTAAAAGAAAGTTTACACACGACAAAGTCGTTTTAATATTGAACAAAAACAAATTTTTAAGAGAAACAAAATAAAATTCGGCTTTTAATAAAATAAATTCCCATGCTCTTCTGTTGGCAACGGAATTAATATCAAAAAATGATATTGATTTGAAAAAAATTAAATTAAATAACGCGATAACAGTCAGTAGATCATCCAGATGAGTAAAATTCACATAAATGCATTTTCCTTTCATATTGAAAGTATCAGCTTCCTAAAACAGCACTTCCACAACTCTTGTTGCATGAAAAGTCCCGTTCTAATTATTTAAATAGTATCTGAATAAACTTATTTGATACTTTTTGATTTTCGTTATCAATTTCTTTAACTAAAGTTTTGTAAAAACAATTGACTTTTAGCGCGAAACTTTGCCATAGATCATATATTTAGAATAATTTAAGTAAATTAATATATATATATATATACATATATATACATATAAATGCGTATTCCTTTACATTTCAGCTACAGGCATGTGTTACTCGGTACTTTGACAATCTCCCTTCCGTTCGAATATATGGACGTATACTTTTTATATAAAATGCGTGATCTTAAACAATGTCTTATTGATTTATTACGTACTGGCGGCCTGTCAACAGGAGAAAAGCACTCCTCCCGAACTGCAGCAATTACTCCGAGATCTCCCCCCAAACTGAAAAAATTATATGAATACACGGCAGCCGATTGCAACGCCGCATTTTTGCGTAAATACAATAATATTGCCAATAGTCATACTGGCGGTAATAATAATAATAATAATGCCATAATTTACTTTAATGAAAATCTAACCATGACTAGTAAATACGATGTTCATCATTTTCCTTTGGGACGTCATCCTTCCTGTTCGATGGGTGCTTTTTATCGAAGTGATGACAGCGTATCACCTCAAAGTTCCAATTCAGACAATCATACAACTGATGATTCCGAAAGTGGACGTTACGATTATTCTTCGGATGATTGCGATACGTTGATAGAGTGCTGCAGTCATGATACGATTAATAGCAGTAAAGTGAACGGTTTACAAGCCAATAATGAAATTGAAGCACAGTTGGACTCATTTTGCACTTTATGTACGTCTAGTTTTAGTTACAATAAATGTTGTCGATACTGCGACAGCTCTCACTGTGGATCCAAATGCAATTCAGAAACCAGCTCTTTGGCAAACTCCAAGAGTCAACAACGCAATGTTACTAAGCACAGAAAATCTTTCAAATCAAGGTAGGTTTTCTTCATTTACATATAATTTATTTAAAGAATTTCTTAATGCACATTTGATTAACTATGCGTCTAAAATATTTTAAGTGAATAACGAAGAATTCACTTTCTTTAATATCTTGCCATACATATCTAAACAATTAATTTGGGCAAAAGAAAAAAAAAAAAATGAAAAATTGATGTTATATTTATAAAGTACGTCTTGTTTTTATAAAAGTTAACTAGAAAATTAAAAAGGCGCAGGAGTATATTAAATAGATTCTACATTCTGTTTTGTTCACGTTGTATGCGGCTACCGTAGGCGCGAGAAACTAAATTCCAAGAATCCATAAAACGGTCCATACACATCGAAATGCATTTCTATAAAATTTTAAATTTTATAATCATTCTTTCTCAAACTATCAGTGGAGACATTATTCAATTTCATTGTTTTCACATTTTATTTTTTACATACCTGTTCCGATGAATCCAACTGAACACCAGGTTTGATGATACATTTGTTAAAACATTTTTCAGTCATTTTCTATAGACATAAAAAATAGCATAATTATAATAATTAGATACCTTGTCTAAATAAATGAAGATTGTGATTAGGTAATGTCATTGCCCTAATCAATTACAGCGAGACACTTACTGTTAGGAGTTCTTGTGCATTAGCTACGGCAATCTGTTGTTTCACTTGTTCTATTAACTCTCCTTTCTCGTTGTTGGATAAATTCAGCATATCCGACATTTTTGTTTAGTGCAGTTTAAGATCGGCTTTGAAAAAATCTTTTTTAATTGAAAAGTTCTCTTTTCATAACCAAATCCAAAGCGAATAAAAAATTTTCCGGCGTACTTTATTCTTTTAGCAGTTGTCAATTTTTCCTGCTAGCTAACATGTGTTTGTGGTGAAATTTAACACTTTAGTTATTGTGGGTGCCGATAATATCTTCAGTGCTTGAAATTAACAAACCAATTGAAATGTATGTAAAATAGAAAACTTAAGATACATATGTTTTACCGAATACATGGCAATCCTGTTCGTGCTGTAAATCTTACACATTTTCATTTTATATTTTTCAGAGATTGTATCACATGTTAATTTAGCATTGTTTGAAAGGTTTTATGCAAAAGTGAAGATTGCAGTAAAAATTAAACAATGGGAGAAACTGCTATGATGAACATTGCGCCTTACTTTCATTGAAATTGGCCATCTTGGATGGAAGTATTAGGATCACTTAACACTTCTTAAGTGGGAAGGATCTAAGGTAGTTTTGTGGCCAGTATTATTAGAGCACTTGAGCCTAGAAAAATTATTATATCCTACGCCACTTGTGGCGCGAGGATATATTAAACTGGTACGGATGTATGCAACACACAGAAGGACTCAAGATATATCTGACTTTTATTATCCCGGTCAATTCAGAATCGCTTTCTAATTCGATTTAAATTTGTCTTTTTAATTTGAATTTGGTATACCGGTGCGTTTTAGCCCAAGGACAAACATTCGGATCAGACCAGTTTTTCGACTACTTTATATATAAAATCTTACATTCAAAAATATTTATATGATGAGTTGTAAGTTGGCGAAGGGTATTTGATAGTGGGACCTGGCGCAGCATAGTACTTCTTAGTTGTCCTTTATGGACTATTGGTGGGAATTGTGGGCTACATTAGTACAAGTGTGAGCATCAAAGAAATTATTGTCTCTCATATCCACAATGTGTTCATATAAAGATATTTTCAAAAATATAAATTGCACGGATTATTCAATGGCTTCGGCTAAATATTATATTTATTTGCTATTCAGACATATACCGATGAATTATAAATTTTAGTGTTTTAATTATTTCAAAGACTTAAAAGAAATATTGTCTTGTATTGGTGTTTAGCGTGAAAAGTAACGAAGGATTGGACGGTTCAAAGAACCAAACGCACTTGTATCGCGTTTTATTGTAGTCTGTTCTCAGATATACTCAAGCAGGCTTGTGTTTCTAGTGAGTGTCTTTGACTCATATATGCAAATAAAAAAATATTTAAAGCGCTGAAGTTAATTATCGCATTTCGCGGATCATGCGCGATAACGTACGCAAAATAAGTTATAATAACAATATTTCATATTATTTGTAAATAATCTGGAATTATTCAACTTAGTATCTAAATCTAGATAGCAGATCCTCTATCATAGTAGATATAAAAAAAACAAATTCTCTACAGATTAATTAATTAATTATGCAGAGAGTTCTTGCGAAACATTTCTACTATGAAAAAGCTTTAGACCACACTAAATGTCAAATGAATACACAAATGGAACACAAAGAAACGGGACGCAGAAAATACGTATAAAAACCAAGCAAATAGGAATAAAAATGGGCTCTAAACAGTAAAAAATTGGACGTGTTGCTTTTAAATAAGATTTAAAAATAGTCAGAAGCTTAGGCTTAAAAAATAGTTTGTTAACATCTTTAATTAGTCATCTGCCTTTTTTCTTTTTTTAGTAAAGATTGATAATTATGAAATATGAAATTTTGCATTGCAAATATAGTAGCACATTTCGCTCAAGTACTGTCTAATTCTGCTATCAAGAATAGCATTTCTCCTATGATGGCAGTAGAATAGATTTCTCTCTTATTCATAGCAGAGGTCTACAGCAGAATACTGAATTCACCCCTTATGACCCTTTACTCAAATTTAGAGTTTTTCGACTATCATAGCATATTTTTAGTATTTAGATTAAAATCCTTGTTTTCGATCTTTCTTGGTTAATAGAAACAAAATTTTGTACAGTTTTAGCAAAGACAGCAAATTATTATTTTCACTTTCGATTCTTTTCAATATTCATCAATAAATCATCATAAAATTGGGGGACTTTTGCCTACGGCTTTGCAATTAACATAGAGTATTACGTTCTTTCTGTAAATTAGCAAAGCATTTAACGTTGGCTTTGCTTGCCTACCTTTAGGTGTAAGTTAATGTAAATTAATTTTAAGTTAAAAAAGGAAAGAAAAGCCCCAATATGCTTTATTTTTTTTTCATAAACGATTTATTTATTTTCACTTTTTTTTCACTTTATTTTATTTATTTATATGCTTTATTCACTACTTATTCACTACTACTGTTGTTTTTGTTGTTAAATTGCCAAATTGTTTGTTTGTTTGTATAGAATTTCAACAGATTTTTTTATTGATTAGCAGAGAATTTGGAACAAATTTTGTAATTAGCATAGAGTATTACGTTCGCTCTGTAAATTAGCATAGAGTATTACGTTCTTTCTGTAAATGAACAGATAACAAATTCTTGTAAATTTTAATAACATAATATAGTTTTAGGCGTTTTCAATCCACAGCGAATGCTTAAAGTTTTTTGAAATACTTTGCTAGGTTAACTACAAGAAGAAAAGGTGAGATGATTGTGGGATCGTCTAGTAAGCCCGCCTACACTAAACCGATGAAATTGTCAAATATATTAACTTGAGATGGATTGCGTTAAAAAAATTCACCCTCATGGAAATCAAACTATCTCACGTATTACTTTATAGAGGCATCGAAATGGGTTTAAAAATAAAAATAGAATAGATTTAGAAATTTGGTCGGAAATAGCATGCCATCGATCAACAAATTGTTACATTTGTGTGTTATCCCTGAATTGAGTTTATTGAAAAAATTTCGTATGATTTTTATACTTATCACCGGAGGATGAGGCGTATATTCATTTTTTCAAAATGTTTGCAACGCCCAGAAGGAAGCTTCAGAAATCCCACAAAGTCTATATATATTCTTGATCACCATCAATTTCTGAATCGATCTAAGCTTGTTTGTCCGTCTGCCTGTCTTGCATTCTAGTATTCAATCTACAAGTGGCCATTTTTGAAATATTTCGACTACCTTCTTTCTAAATGAAACAAATATAACATGTTGTTTATATATATTTACACTTAACAGCATCAAAATTTCGTTAAAGCAAAGATTGTGATAGGTTAGGCTTTACGCGAGATGCGTTGGAAGGCGTATATGTATAAATTACTCTCTTGCACTCGGTTTACGCAAAGTTTTGCGTAAATTAACACACGAGAAATAATTTAGTCATTTAAAACAAGTGAAAACATTATAGCCGGGCTAAACCGATCGTTAAATACCCTACACCACATTGTCTGACATAATTCTTATTTTTGCTACAGAACACAAAAATTATACACTGTTTTTATATCACCTTACTATTATGGAACTATGCATTAAAAATTACACTCCTTTGCGAATTAAGGCTTACTTGCCGTGAGAATGGTTGTGCCCAAGAAGCTAAAAAATTAAACACTGTTAAATATTATTTATCATGTTCGTATTATCATATAATGTTTATAAAATAATAAAACTTGGACTTAAAAATCAAAAATTGTCGTAAAAATCTTTATATCGGGTAAGATGCAAAAATGGGAGTACATGGCCCAAATTTTGTAAATTTAATGTTTATATTAAATTACTATTATGGCTTAATTTCCATCATAACACATTAAAATTTAGGCTCTTCTGTCCTATAAAGAATCAATTCGTGAAAACCTGTATATATAGAATAGGATTTAAAAAATAGGCCGAAGTCGTTCAAATTTGTTACATTTAATTTTTTTTTGTCTTAAATTACTATTATGGTGTGAATTTCATTGCAAAACATGGAAAATTAGACCTTTTTGTCATACGAACTTCAGGTGTCCTCATATGAGAGGGGGTTCAAAAATTGCCTGAGCCGAAGTTTCCAAAGTTTCCACACCAATTTCGAATGCCGAAATACTATTACTTTGACCTTTTGTCGAGAAATTTTGATAATAGGCCGTTATAAGGGGAGTGGTCGAAAAAGTGGACCGATCCAAACCATTTTCAATAGCGTTTGTCATTGGGTCAAAACAAGTCTATATAACAAATTTCATCAAAGTATCTCAAAAATTCCGGCCTGCAGCATGAACACAAATTTACGTGGGCAGACATCAAGCGGATAGACAAACAGAGTGACAGTGAGGCTTAAATCAATTCAGAAAATGACTCTGAATCGATCAGTATACTACCTTGTATCACAAGTGATGTAGGGTATAAAATGAAAAAAATTGCACTAAACTTTTCTGTGAAAATGGAAAAATAAAATTGAAAGTGTACCTCTGCACCTATATACACAACCGTGACCAAGTAGGTTAAACATATAGAAAGCGTTGCTTCTTAAACGTTTTATTTACCGTCTGTTTGTTAATTGTGAAAAGCACTTATTTTAATGCAAACTTTCTTTCTTTCTTAATATTCTTTGCATAACAAATATACGTTTGTACGTATGCAAGCAATATTAAGTAAAATAAAATATACTTAATATTTACAAAAGACAATTTTTTTGTGAAAATGCTTTCAATACAACAAAGTATCATAATACCTGCTAGGAGAGGATGAAAAATATCGGCTTAAAATGTCAGAAAATAATTATTTAATGTTCAGTGTATAATTTAGTTATGGTGTTTACGTCATCAAATACTCTATATAAGGGAGTCTACTATGCTGATCATACGATTTCATACATGAAGCACATGGGTTTATGAGATAAAAGAACAGCTCCCTTTGATTACTTCGAAGATCGAATTAAAGTGATGAAAAAAATATCCGACGTTTATCGTAAGCAGTCTAAGCAGTAGTCCATGCTTTAGTTGGAAATTATAACAAAAGTGTTTCGAGGATGACGTTTGCAACGCCTAGAAGGAACGATCAGAGACCGAACGAAGTATATGTATTCTTGATCAGCATCAAATTTTAAATCGATTTAAGAATGTCCGTCCGTTCGTCTGTGCAATGTCTGCTGTAAACATTCTCCTGGCCGCATATATGAAGCTATCGACTTCAGGGTTGGGCGAAACATTGACAATTCTTGCACGCAGTTTAGTACTGAAAGTATGCCAAAATCGGTCAAAAGACATGCCCATAGCGCCCCA